CATCCACCAATAAAATGTAAAAAAAAAACAGTAAAAACATCTAAAAATATGAACTAAGAAAAGCACAACTTAAAATACTCTAAGCACTAATAGCATAAAAACATTACATCGAACAGCAGCACGAACACTAGTCTGTGTGAGCAGATTAACATGAATGAACACAGCAACATGAAACAGATCAGCAGCAACATGATATTTTTCACAGTGATTATTCTAGTTAGAGATTCATGAGTCTAACAGCCTCAGGGTAGAAGCTGTTCCTCAGTCTAGTGGTTCTACACTTGATGCTCCTTCACCTCCTTCCTGATGGGAGCGGGGCAAAAAGTGTGTGTGCTGGGTGAGTGGGGTCCTTCATGATGCAGGTGCCCCTCTTTCTGCATCTGGAGGTGTAGATGTCTGTGATGGTGGGGAGGCTGATTCCAACAGTCTTCTGTGCAGCCTTCACCACTCTCTGCAGCTGTGCAGCCTCCATGCCACACGTTGATGCTGGAGCACAGGATGCTCTCCACTGCACACCTGTAGGAGGTGGTGAGGACTGACCTTCCCAGACCAGCTCGTCTCAGCCGCCTGAGGAAGTAGAGTCTCTGATGAGCTTTCTTGATCAGGCTGGTGGTGTTGTTGCTCCAGCTGAGGTTGTCATTCATGTGTACACCCAAGTACTTGTAGCTGGAGACCACTTCCACTGCAGATTCTCTTATTTCCAGGAGGGTGTAGGTGTGTTTGTTCCTTCTGAAGTCCACCATCATCTCCTTTGTCTTCTTTACACTGATGTGAAGGTTTTTCTCTTTGCACCAGCTCTCCAGGTGTTCCACCTCTTGCCTGTAGCTGGACTCATTGTTTGTGATGCATCCCACCACCGCTGTATCATCTGCAAACTTTACAATATGACAGCCTGAATGGGTAGCTGCACAATCATATGTGAGCAGAGTAAACAGGAGAGGGTTCAACACAGATCCCTGAGGAGAGCCAGTGCTGAGGGTTATAGTGGAGAAGAAGTTGTGGATCCTCACCGAGTGCTGTCTGTTAAGAAGTCTAGTACCCAGTTGCAAATGGAGGGGCTTAGTCCTAGTGTGAATAGTTTGTCCATCAGGGTTTGGGGGATCATGGTGATGAAGGCAGACGTGAAGTCCACAAAGAGGAGTCTTCCTGCTCCAGGTGGTTGAGTGCAGTGTGGACCACAGAGGAGATGGCATCCTCTGTTGATCAGTTCTCGCAGTATGCATACTGATGATGGTCCTCGTTGATGTTTGTTTTGATGTGGGTCAGCAGTCCGAGGAGATAAATTCAGTTCCACAAGCAGCACACTCCCATATGGGCTAACCAGTTTGATGATGATGAGATAGTTTCTGGGGCCTGCCCTGGGAAAGGGCAGATATAATAATCCAGGTAAAAAAAAATTAATCAGGATTTTTTAAAACCTGGATTATCGAACATGAACTTTGATGTTTTGAACCACTTTGGGTATGGCTCCCTCAGAGGAGCCGACGGGGGAGAGGGCGGGTCACAGAAACCATTTTATCACCTTCAAACTAGTTGGCCCACTATGAGTGTGCTGCTTGTGGGACTGAGTTTGTTGTGGCTCCTTGGACTGATGAAGTCCTTTGGATGAATGACAAAAAAAAAAAAAAAACATCCAGATGACCTGACTGAACTTTGTTGGATACAAGTCAATTCCCTGAAAGTTTTAATAATTTGGCAGTTTAGAAACTTGCATACAAATAAATTCAGACCCAAAATAATCGTTTCCAGGTTGTTTTTATTACTAAATGTCTCTAAGGCAGCAGTTTGTGCTCACAGGTCTCTAACACGGTGCATGAAAACAAAGTACAAAAAAAAAAAAAAATTCTGTTTAGCCGTGTGCTACAGATAATCAGCAGACAAATAACTGTAAATAAGAAGTTTACAGACAAGAACAAGATAAGTATTATAATCATTTTCCCCTTCAAGTATGCTACTATTCAAAGTGACTAGTGTAAAATTGGCAGAGGAAATAAAACAAGTGATTATTTACATATTACAGGTCCAGCAAGTGTGTGTGTGTTTTTTTTTTTTTTTTTTTTTTTTGGGGGGGGGGGGGGGGGGGGGGGGGGG